GTCTCAAATTATTGTAAGAGAAATGAAAAAGTCATACTTTTATACTAGATGTAACAAAAGTCTAGTCTGTAAACCACTGGTGATTAAAGATGACTACCAGATCTGCAGTTGCCACAGTTTCTAAATATATGGGCAGCATCGCTTCTCAGATAACACCGTACAGCAATTGTTGACAAGTGTTGGCTTTCAAAATAGTAACTATCTGACAGTGTCTAAGTTCTCAGGGGATTTTATTTATTTTCATTTGTGGGCTGTGAATGATAAGATAAAATAGTAGCATCGTTGGCAATCATCTCAATAGAACTGGGATCATCAGTGCTTTTACCCCTCGGAATATTCTCAGCATCTATTCTGTACACATTCCCTCCTGACAGCAGGAGAAAACACAGTTACACCCCCACACACACTCCAGGCCAGTCTTCAAGGTCATTTTAAACAGATATTTTAGCAGCAAGTCCAGGGTTCCTGTTCTTAAAGACAAGTTTTAAATTCCTGAGGAAAGCTGGTATTGAATTACTTGTTCAGAGGGTGGGCTGCAAGATGATGATTTTATATAGCCTGCCATGTTATCCTCTGTGAGCTTGGAAAGGGCTGGAAACATCTGGTTAGAGCAGTGCCAAGATCTCAACAGCTGAAGGTCTTAAACTCACTGCCATACAGGCGAGCGTGGGCGTGACAGCAGGTTGCAGGGGTAAACGCCACCCGCCCTTGTAGGAGCGTGGGTGACAACAGCGAGAATTCCGTAGGAGGCACGTATCGCCAGCACGATAAGTCAGGCTGCGTGAACCAAGCCATGTCTTTGCTGACTCTTCAAAATACATTATCATTTTTATAAGGGAAAACTGGGAAGACGGCCATGTGAGAAATTCACAAGAACTTGCCTTTGTCACTTTCTGACTGTCCTTCAGTGCTCGGCTATATTAAGTATACCACAATATTCTTTGAATTCAAAAGCATCCTTCCCCTCGGACACAAGGGGGCATATCAGCTCTCAGAAGCTATTCATAATACAATCTGCAGTGCTGAAACCGTAGAACTGCTCGGTTCCTGGAAAGGAAACAAAGATGTAGAACAGCGTTTTCCCTGAAAATTTAGTTTCAACACATCTACAGGTCTCCGTTTTTAAAGTTCCCAAAACAGCTCATTCCCATCACTTACAGTATTTCCAGTGGCAGTAGATAGAATAGGGAAGTGACATATTTCCTGAATCACAGACAAACTCATTTTCTAGTCTGAATATTTCAATTTCTCCCCCTCCCCTCTCAAAACAACAGCATAAGCAGAAACTTTCCTCTGCAGCTGACCAAAATTCATTCAATCCTTTAATCAGAATGCTATGCCTGGGATCTGTTTCTTTCTTCTTCACAGGATTCTTTTGTAATAAAACCTCAGGGAAGCTCCCAATTACAAAAATGTTGTATTGCTGAAATCTCCTTCCTTTTTCTGCTGTTACTTCCAGTGGATATGAAGCAGTTCACACTGTTTAAGCATGTAGGTTTAAGCATGTAGACCAACCTTTCATTACATAGCAGTGAGGCATATAAGTAGTCTTCATAAACATTTCTCCTTTTGAAATGGGAGTTGAGAAAAGGAGAGTAAAATAAAACCACCACATGAAATAAAACTGCACAGAAACAGCCTCAAGATACAAGAACAGCTCCGCTCCCCCTGAAAATTTCAGTTCTGTATTCCTTTCCAGCTCATTGGAATCTTCAGAAGTGTGTATCCCCAAGCTTCAGTTCCCAGGTTAAAAAAAAAAAAAAATTAGTACAAGGGATTTTGTGCTGTGTCTAGGCATAGCCTACACAGAGAAGTTACAGTTTTTGTTAAGAGCTGGTTGGTGCTATTCAGATGCAGATAAAAGACACTCTGGGGCAGGATACTGCAGGAAGATTTATAACTAAGTATGTCTTTCTCCACAAATTAACTAAGGAAGCTTTCAAATGTCTGAAACAGCAACAATTTAATGTTTCACAAGTGTCAGGACAGAATCAGAACAAGTTTTTAAGATGAAGCAAGTTTCATAAGGGAATGGAAAATATGCAGGACATAGGACAAAGCTCTTCTCAAAACCTAAAACCACATGTCACGTTAAAGTGTTTCAGTTACAAGATTCAGAAGTAATAACTACAGGATATGTTAAGAACAAAACATAATGAAGTGCTGGCAGATCTAACAGATCTAACATTGCTTACCTCAGATCACACTTGTTTTGCAGCAAGTCTCATAGTATAAAAATTAGAGAATGTCATAAAAATGGAGTGACCAGTTCAATGTGCACGTTCTCAGAAAACAACTAGGGTTTGACGGAGTGTCACTAATATCATTCTGCTCCCAATAGGTGACTCCTCACTGAGAGTTCAGTGTTAGCTCTCTAGGGACACCTCTACGTTGGCAGCCGCAGGGGAGCAGACCTGACTAAATTATTTGCTGCAGCCAGATTGCCTCTGATACCTAAGCTCTCATTCCTAAGGCTAACTGGTATCCTTGAACAATGCTGTATTCTACGCAATCAGCTTTTGACTCTAAAAAAACCACAACAGTTCAAGTCCTCCATTTGTTGCATAAACTTACCTCATCCGCACCCTTGTGGCAGGTTGGAGCTAAGCAGCTGATGCATCTAACAAAAGGAGCAAATAATGCTGTTTGTCTGGATTTTGCTCTCCCCACTACTCCAAATCTCCACACTTACAAATACCATTAACTACCAACAAACACAATTAATGATATAGAATAAAGTTGTTCCAGAGTGCAGTTGAAGTACCAATGGCTCAGAGAAACTAGGTGACGACTGGACCATAGTTTACACACAGTGTACTTTCAACACCCATGAATATAGAACTAAGTTTTAGACAAGTGATATGTTCTTACTTCTTTTAATTTCTGAAAAGTCTCCCTATATATCCGTCTTGCAGTCATACATACAACCATAGTCACTGAAAAAGTAAACATACATGCTTAGAAATTCTCTGCAGGAACACAAGTTTTTAGAAAATACTGCATACACAACATTCACAGCCTCCTTCTGTGGGTTTCCAAAGAGGTTACTTACTTCCAAAGTCAGCACACACACAAAAAAAAGAAAAAGGCAAAAAGAAAAAAAAAAATCACCAACAATTTCTATTTTAAGGCAACCTCAAGTTGTGTCATGACAAGTGCATTTTGCTTCATGCTGCAGAGGACCTACAGATGTTTCCCATTTGAGGTGTGTCACCACTGAAATCTGTCAGTATACAATTTACTTGGATGATTTTTTTTTTAAGGCCTCATCTACTTTTTTTTGGTTTGTTTTAAACAAAATCTATTGCATTTTACTCAAATCAAAACTCAAAAGTATGAGAGAAAGATGTAGTGAAAAATTCCTTGCATTTGCTTAAACAGAGCAATAAGCTAACCTGGCACATCACGGAGCTGAGACAACAGTTTTGCTAGTTCTCCAGTGGTTTCCAACTACACAAAGGAATTTCTTTCAAGTCAGACAGTTGTACTAGATGACCACAAACATCAGCCCAGTTTCCATCAAGCCATCAGTTTTTCTAATGTCTACAAGAAGTTTATTAGAAGCAAGTTTTCACTTGCAGGAGATAGGTACAAATCATTAAATACACCTGAGATGGAGCAATTTTGTTTTCAGTAAAAATCGACAGTTTCATGTATCAGAATTTGTAAAGACAGTCTAAAGCTCTTTCTGTGAACTGCACTGAAGTGACAGGACAGCTCTTTACACAGCCTCACCTAGTAAAAAGATTTTTTTGCTAATAAGGCATTGAGTTAATTCACTCTTTGTGATCTCTTCTGCCACACTGTGAAACTTCTATCTCCCATTCTCATCTCCAATTTCTGCACACCTCTAGTTCTGTTTGCTCCAGTCCGCGTTGGCGCAGTGCAGTCACTGACAGTCTACAGGCTGCCTGCAAATACAGTTTTATAACCCAAACTATTTGGGTACGTCTGACGGTGCCGTTAGACAGCTGAAGGATCCTTAGCAGGAGGATGTGGAAACCACTGAGAACAGTAAATAGTCTCTGCCGTTATCATCAGTCTGATGAGATGCCAACAGGTTTCTGTGTTCACATTTTATTCCAAAACTGCAAAAGACTTAGAGTAAACAAATATTCAAATATGTATTATCCCTTCAGGTACTCTTATTCACTTCTATAGTTATCAAGTGTAACATTTCACCAGATACAAAGCTTCAACCTAGGCTCTAACAAATCTTCA